CCATCCCACTCTATTTCAGCCCAGTCCAGCCCATCCCACCACATCCCCATTGTGACCCCAAATCCCACCCCATCCCAAACCCATCCCATCTCATGCTCATCCCACTCCATCCCATCCCACTCTATTTCAGCCCAGTCCAGCCCATCCCATTACTCCATTCCAATGCCATCCCCATCCCATCTCATCCCACTCCATCCCAACCTCATCCCAGCCCATCCCGTCCCGCTCCTGGCCCAGCTGAGCCGTTGGCTCGGGGCCGGCCCCATCCGGCGCCGCGTGTGTCACCCGGCTGAGCCCGTGACAAGGCTCGGCACGATGACGATTGATTTTAATTAATTAGCTGGGACGGGGCCAACAAACCACCCCCGGCACGGCAAGGGGGGGAGGGGTAGATCCGCTCTCCCCCCGTGTCCTCCCGCAGGTCCCCAACGTGCCGGGGATCGTCACCAGCCTCGTGCGGTTCTGGCTGTTCCGCTGGTACCGGCCGGGGCAGGACAAGTCTTACAGCCCCCTGCCCGCCTGAGGGGCCCCCCGAGGAGCCCCCCAACTCCAGCCCGGGCTGGCCCTGCTGCCACAGCCCTGGGTGCCACCGCTGTCCCCTCCCAGAGGGGATACCAGGAGGCACCTCCTGCCTCGGTGCGACCCAGCCCCGCGTCCTTCAGCAATGCCTTCGGGGTGCCAGGAGCACCCCCAGATCCCAGGGTGGGAGGATGGTCTTCCACACCCACAGCCCTGCCTGGTGCCGGGCTGGGGCTGCCAGGGGCCTGGGCATCTTTTGTTTTTGTACGGATTCAAGTGCCTTTTAATAAATCAGAGACTTCCCAGTGTCTGGTCTTTGTCCCTCCATCCTCCTGGTGTTCTGCTGCAGGGGCCGGGATGGCTCGTGTCCCCACAGCCACTTTGGGGGCTACTCAGGACCATCCAGGGGCTCCTTGTGGCCATCCAGGGGCTCCTCCTGGTGGGGCATCATCCTGCCACCCTCTAGGCTCCAGCAAACCCTTCCAGCATTAGGGAAACATCAGCCCTGGTGCTGGGAAGGGACTGGGCACGGGGCTGGGTTGGGGCAGGGAGGGGACAAGGGGCTGCTCTGACCCCCCCCTGAGCTGCCACCTGGGGCCACCAGGGAAGGGAGGAAATTCTGTTGCGGAGCTGCTGCCACTCTGGGAGCTGGGAATCGATGGAAATCCCTGTTAAACCCCCCACGGATCGAGCAGGCCCGGATCAGGAATCGACCCCGCGTCAATTGATCAATTAACAGCGATCTGGGATGAAGATATCAGGCCGGTGCGAAACCACACAGCAAACACCCCGGAGCCTTGCGAAAAGTGACCCCTCCCCGTGTGCAGGAGACCCCCCGGGACCCCCACCTGCGCTCCAGTGGGATGAAGGAAGTGGTGGCAGGAGCCGGGGCTGCAGCTCAGGCCTCCCACACAAAGCCTGGAAGAAATCCGTGTGGAGGGAATGGGATCTGTGTGGAGGGAATGGGAAGGAGGGAGGGAGGACGAGCTCCTGGCGTGCTCCGTCTTGTCCCTCCTGCCTGCCCCGGCTGCTCCTGGTGGGGAGGAGCCCCCCACTCTCTCCAGCAGCGCTTCCAGCAGCTCCCAGCCCAGCCCCACAGCCCCGGGAAAGGGCAGCTTTCCCCACGGACACACCCGACCGGTCGCTCCGGCTGCCTCCGTGACGTGGCCGCGCGCGCCGGGCCCGAGGCAGCGGAGCGGCTTCCCCGGACGCTGCCACGCAGGGAGGAGCTGCTGCTGCTGCTGGACAGGCTGTGTGGCCCTTGATGGCTGTGAGGAAAGGCCCTGGATTGTCACGAGTGGCCCCTGGATGACCATGAGTAGCCCCTGGATGGACACGAGTGGCCACCGAATGGCCATGAGTAAAGGCCCTGGATTGCCATGAGTAGCCCACAGAGGGCTGGGAGTAGCCCCTGGATGACCACAAGTAGGTCCTGGATGGCCATGAGTAAAGGCCCTGGATTGCCATTAAGTAGCCCACAGAGGGCTGGGAGTAGCCCCTGAACGACCAAATGGAGCCCCTGGATGGCCAGGAGCAGAGGCCCTGGATTGCCATGAATGGCCCACAGAGGGCTGGGAGTAGCCCCTGAATGACCATGAGGAGCTCCTGGATGACCACAAGCAGGCCCTGGTTGGCCATGAGTAGCTCCTGGATGGCCATGAGTAAAGGCCCCTGGATTGTCATTAAGTAGCCCACAGAGGGCTGGGAGTAGCCCCTGAATGACCATGGCCGTGAGGATCCTGCAGAGGGTCATGAGTAGCCCACAGAGGGCTGTGAGGAGGCCCTGAATGACCACTGGGAGCCCCTGATGGCCCTGAGTATCCCACAAAGAGCTGTCAGAAGCCCCCAGAGCACCACTGCCTCTCACCCTGTGGTCCCAACCCCACCAAGCCCCCTCAAAGTGGCTGAACCCGGGGTGGTGTCACGCCCCCCTCAACCAGCCCCGTGCTGGTGAACACCGGGAGCTTCCCACCCTGCTCCCAGCTGCCTCTGCTGCCCAGGAAACAGCTAATTAGCCGCTCCTCCTAATTAACCCGGGCCCTCCCTCCCGGGGACGCGCAGCCTCTCCTTAAAATCCCAAAATCCTTCGGCTGGAGGAGCCAGGTCCGGGCACGGCGGGTGGGGGGTCCCAGGGTGTGGGGCACCCCCAGGCAGAGCCCTCCCTGCCTGGTGTGGAGCTCTGGATGGGCAGAGGAGCCGGTAGGAGCGGGGAGCTCCCCGGAACACCCCCAGGGAGGGGCCACGCCGTGGTTTAAAGGCTCCGCCGCCCCCTCCACCCAAGCCAGTCCCTCTCCTCCTTCCCGGGAACGCGGCCAGCGGGGCGGGATGAGGCTCCTCCAGCTCCCAACCTGCCGGGGGCAAACCACATCTAAAGGGCAGCCAGGGCACGGCCCTGCATCCACCTGCAGAGCCCAGATCCACAGGGAGCTCCCCGGAGGAGGCAGAGGCCAGGGGTGGGGGGCTCCTGAAAGCCCCTCGGGGCAGTGGGCAAACAGCCTGCACCGAGACCCCTCCAGACACCCACCCCACACTGAGTGATTCCCCCCCGGGGGGCTCTTCCAGCAGCACCCAGGACCCCCAGTGCCCTCAGCAATGGCCTGGGGTGACAGAGCAGCGCCAGGAGCCGCCATCCCTGGGTTTTATTGCTGTCACAGCCGCCGTCCCCGGGTTTTGTTGCTGTCACAGCCGCTGTCCCTGGGTTTTGTTGCTGTCCCTGGGTTTCGCTGCTGTCACAGCCGCTGTCCCCGGGTTTTGTTGCTGTCACAGGCGCAGCCCCTGTCGCCGCAGGTCTGCCCGGGCCGCCCTGATGTGCTCCTGCAGCTCGGCCGCCGCCTCCTCGCAGTCGTTGAAGGTGGCCAGGCGGTAGCCCACGGTGGCCAGCGAGTAGCAGCCGAAGGCCACCAGCAGGTAGACGGGCAGGGGCAGCAGGGCCTGGCGGAGAGGCGCCGGCAGCCCCGGCGGGGCCAGGGCCAGAGCGGCCCAGGCTGAGCCCAGCAGGGCCAGCCCAAAGAGCCACTGCCCCAGCTTGGTCATGGCGGCCTGGGGGGGACAGAGGGGACAGGGGATGTGAGGGGGCAACTCAGAGGGGAGCTGGGAGAGGGGAGAGATGGGGAAAGGGGAGTCAGGAAGGGGGGAGATG